GGGTAGCCAAATTAGGCTTTGATCCTCTGTATAAACACAAACAGACCCTATGCCTACACTTTTATATGCCCTTTATATCATTGTGTAGAACTCATTGGAGGTCACCACACAGGAACTGCTTTTTTTTTTATCATTAATCTACACTTACATGATGAATATTTTGTTTACTAGGCTCTCCCCTATACCAGGTCCCCCCTATATACCCCTTTACAGTCACTGTCCGTCAGCGTAGCAAAATGTTGTAGAATCACTACTTGTCTTCTCTGTAAGCACTCTCTCTTTAACTACCATGATTCTTGCGTCCACATGTGCCTGTACTTCATCTCACCCACGAGTCACTCTCTGAAGACCTGGACCTCTTAACCATGAAGAGCCTTGACAGCAGGGTGGGTTTGGAAAAGGGATAAAGTCAGCATGCTTTAATGTTCATCTTGAACTATTAAAATCTCTTTATGATGAGTATACCTATCACAACTTTTATTCTGTACATTCTGAAAGTATTTCATATCTATCTTAGGTTATATTCCAGAGAAATTCTTTCTGGAAGATGAGATGCGAATATAGTATTTATTGAACACTAATTTTACTTTGTGGCACTATTGAGTGAGAAGAATTGACAGAGATTAAGGTCTGATGTATTGTCATGTATTATGTAAATGATGTCTTACTTTGAACCATCCCAAGAAAACCTATTTTTGATTTTCTGAGCTAATGAGCTATATTTAATTTAAGGGACCTATAAAAATATATAATCTGCAAATGAATTTACTTCAGATTTTTTTATTTAAAAGATGGTTGAAAACTGCTATCTTATACTAAAAAAAATCTCCAGTTTTCCTGTAAACTCTGATGGTTTGACAATTGCAGGTTTCATCATCCAGGCTAATAATTTTGTAAGACAGGATTCAGAAAAAAAGGCACGCTGGCCATGTCTGCTTTCTATATAGAGATCAGCATGGAAAGCATGAAGGCCTGCTAGTGAAGCCTTGGTACACAGATTGATTTTTGACTAGTTGCACGGTCCCCTAGCTTTAGCAAAACCTGATGAAGCTTATTTGGAAGTCTGGTCATCTGATCAGATGTTCTGACCATTTAGCCAGTAACTGTTGTAGCTGAGTCTGATTTTTGTGGAAATTCATATTTATTAAACGAGCATAAAAACAATAGTGTGCACCTTCGTCATCGCCGATCAGAAGCTCCAAATGGCATGGTTTTGTGTAAAGGTCATAGAAAATGGTGTTGGTGGAGACTGCTTGTAAATATGAGCTCTGTCACTTAATAGCTATGTTTTCTTGGGTAAATTTCTTTAGCCCTCTGAGCCTCAGTTTCCCCATCACTAAAATAAAAACTAGGAAGAATACTTATCTCAAGCAGCAGATGTGAGGATTAATTAAATTGCTAGTTGGTCCTTTCTTCTTAAGAGAAGAATACTGGCACAGAAGTTACCTTATCTTATGCATTGAGTGCCAGGTTGCCATCCCTGGGCACACCTGTTACTTTCTCTTCCCAGATAGACAGATCAGTGTTACGCTTAGCTTTCAGTCCACACTGTGTCCTCCCAGCACATTTGTAGTGTTCCTGGCTCCAGGAGTACCTCAGCTGTGTGTACTCACAGTGAGCCTGCAGACATCCTCCCCCAACCAGGGCCTGTGCCAAGGCTGGGCTGGGCCTGTGGTTCTTACTGTGATCACAGGATGCACTTCAGCAAGAAACCATCTAGGAACTTTGGAAAATAAGATTTGTTACTCATGGATCCTGGAGGGTGCACAGCACACCCAAGGGCCACACACAGGTCAGGAGAAGGGAGAGAGGCAAGCATGAACCTGGGTTAGGCCTTTATCTGAGGGTGGGGTGTCTAGGGTTCTTGAGCTTCTGCTTCATTAAGCAGATGTAAAGCATCAGGGAGAGAATTAGGGCAAGAGAAGGGAGAAGTGGCCCCATTCAGGGATCAGTACCCAGGCTATGCAGGCTTTCTAAAAGGGGGACTTGAGGCATGGCAGTGGCCTGGTTCCTCATTTGTTGTTTTGCTAGCAGCTGTGTTGACTGCTGTTGACACGGCATTCCATGTGGATCTTGCAATGGGGGCCTCAGCAATCAAACAGCTTATTGTCAGTCACTTACACAAAAGCCCTATTCTGTTTTTTATTGTGGAAGCAATTATAAGCTATTAACTTGGCATAATTTATTGAATACCTAAGTATTTAATTTTGAAACAAGAACTAGGCATCGCATTTTTATGTTTTGACAAACAACATGAAAGTTATTTACCCACAATTGTTGGGAAGTCTTCTGCCACACATTTCATGGATATTTAGAAAAATCTTTATCTTATCTGGAGATGTTTAAGAGTAATAAATCCAAATATACACAGCAAATCAGTGTGGAATTGGAAAAAGAAAGACACTCAAGAATAGAATAGGAATTATGATTTTTACCTTTCACTCTTGCTCTGAAAATTACATTGATACCTCACTGTCTTGACACATATGACTAGTTGGCCTGAAGTTTCTCACTAAAAACAAACTAAATAAAAAACAAAAACCAAAAATCTACAGACCCCTAAATCAGTGGAGACATTACTCTTTTGTGGGTACATTAATCTTACAGAACTAGCTTTACAGGCTTGTCTGTCATCACGACCCCACCTCTCTTCTTTTGTGGCCAGTGATAAGTTAATGCTGAGAAAGTTATTCCTTTGAGTCATGAACATTTTTCATTGGTATATATAAAGTCTCCTTCCTTAGACAACCCAATGAATGAGTCTCTGATGACACAGCACAGATCAAATGGATTCATTGGGAAAATGGGACCTGCTGTGTGAGAGGCTGCAGACTTAACCTGTCCCAAGTGTTGCTGGGGGATCAATCCCCTATTACTTAGTGTTTAGATTAAGAAATAAAACATCCTTAGTGATTTAAGCAGGCATTTCTGCTCACTGCCTACATTTACTTATTTTGTGTATGACCGAACTAGAAGAGATTTTGAGAAGAGAGAAGAAAATGTGAGATTCCTAAACCTATTCAGAGGAAATATTGTAAGAGCTCCTTTGTAAACGCAGTTATTGCAAGGTGGCTTCTGCAGGAATGATTGCATAGAGGTGTCTGGGAAGAACGATAGCCAGCGCTTGTCTAGGTCAGGAGTCGGCAAGGCTTCCCAGGTCATGTGGTCTCATGTAACCTCTCATCTCTGCTACTGTGGCGTGAAAGCGGTCGTAGACAGTGTGTTGAGTGGGCCAGCTGTGTTCCAGCACATCTCTATGTATATCAACAGGTGGTGAACTGGACCATTGGTTGCCCATCCCCTGACCCAGGTTAAGAAAATTTGTGAAAGACTGAATGGATTTGAAAGCAGAAACTACAGGATTAAAAAACAAATCCTTAATTATGAGATTTGTTTTTCTTTATTCTTACTAGGTGAACATTATACCAGTGATTGCCAAAGCAGATGCAATTTCTGAAACTGAATTACAGAAGTTTAAGATCAAACTCCTGAGTGAATTGGTCAGCAATGGCATCCAGATATACCAGGTCCCAACAGATGATGAAACTATTGCTAAAATTGATGCTGTTATGAATGTGGGCTCCTAATTGAATATTGATTGCTTTACATGTGAAAAACATCATTTGTAAGTAACAGTGCTACAAATGTTTTCACTTGTTTCTTCAAAAACACTTCAAGCAAACTGAATTTTTAAAAAATTCAGTATAGGAAATGTTTATTTTCTAGAGCTGGTAAAAGTATGATAATGTTTTGGAGCATATTTTCTTTTCATCCCACTTTCACCTAAAGTAATGCATTTGTGAGGTGGGAATACACTTTTGTGGAATCATACTTAATGCCCTAGAAAGATGCCTTTTTATTCTCTTTAAAAACATGGAGGCCTATGGGGGTCAGGGGGTTGCCTTTGAGGTTTTGGGGCAATGCAAAGAGCAAAGAAGACAGGAGTTGTCAGGAGGGTGCTCAAAGAGGCCACTTTATTCTGCATAAAGCTGTACTCTTTATACTGCTATACTGTTAATTCATGGTTACAGAAGTGTTGAAGACATGCATGCATGTGACCTTCATGGCCAGGTGTCTAGCCTTCAAGGCCCTTATCTAGCTCCTTTCCCATGGGTACAACACGCTGTTTTCAGGTTTCTCAAGGCCAGGATTCTCAAGGCCAGACATATCTGGCTCCATACAAAGCCAGACATATTTGGGAGGAAGCAGCAGCCACCTGTCCTCATAGAACACTAGGGAAACTGGGGGGAAGGGTACCTTACCTACAAGGCCTCCCTTGGAATGCTTTGGAACCTTAAAACCTTTGAGGTCTTTCTGATATATTAAAGCTCATTCTCTCCTACAGTATCATACATATGTATTAAACATTCACATAACAATTAATGTAATTGAAGATAACTCAGTTCTTTGTGTTACTTTCTTGAGGCTGCAAATTTATGAAATAGTTGGTTATTATTTTGAAAAATTGGTTAGTCAGACAGACTTAATGATAAAGTCTTCTGGGAGTTGCTGACCTCCCTAAGACTTTATCCACAAAATGAGCTAACTAAAACTATGTTAAAGAATGTTGTTAAGAGTACAGCCTTTGTTCACTACCTAACAGTGACCTTCAGTAACTGCTCATTCCATTCCTCCTCTCTTCCTTTTGTGATTTTTCATATTCCATTTATATTAAAATACTTAAACTAAATGTATAAAAAACTTTGTTTGAAATGTGTTCTCCCCTGTTCGTTAGATCTGCAAATCCTGGTTGTATGTCAGGAATTAAATGTGGCGCCGTGATTTCTGTGTCTCCCAGGCAGTGGGGAACAAGATGCAGTGCCACTTTGTGAAGCTGAGGGGGGCGTGCACATGCCTGGAGGACCTGCAGGAACAGACGCTCTGGTGCCACTCCGGTTGACTGGCACCACAACTGGGCACCAGAGGCTTCGCCGATGTGGGCCTGGAGAAGCAGCTGCTCAGGTGAGCGTCCCACGGCCAGTGATGCATGTCGGTGGGGTGGTGCCATGAGGAAGGAGCAGCTGGTGGGCATCTCTCCCCCATGGCCTCCTTGCTATTGGATGTCTCTAAGTCCTCGTCTGACCCAAGGAGTGAAGTGGAAGGGGATCACATGGCAAAAGCCCACTGTTTATGCAATGCTCAAGTGAGTAACTAAAGGAGAAATCATTATTTGTTTTTATCTTTTTATTTATCTGAAAAGGATAAAAGTATATTTCTATTAAAAGGAAAGTCAGAATGTGGTCCTATTAAATAAACTAAAACTGTTGTTTTGTATTGTGGGTGAATTGCATATTTCCAGAATCTCTTACCTGGCATGAGCACATCTCCGTATCAATAGATGTTTCCTAAAGGTGGACAGAAGCAGTCCATCTTCATAGCAGTAGGTAATTACAAAGGCGAGCAAGGACATATCTGGATGGGAAGATTGGATGGGATCTCTTCTGCAGCTGAGTTGCAAAAGATATGGGTGAGCAGAAGTGGACGACTGCTTGTAGCAATAAATGAGTTTCTCCCACTTTATTTCTCCCTTTGACTGATTTTGGTATTTTGCTCTGGGATTTTGCCCCAGGAGTTATATGTATAGGATTGTAAGTCCAGGGAGAGGAAATCCAGAGGCAAAATACCTCTAAAAACCCAAAGCAGTCAAAGGGTGATTTAAAGTTT